ACAAATGGGTGGGATATTCAGCAAATAGACATCAATAATGCTTTTCTGAATGGAACTCTAAATGAAACTGATTCATGCGACAACCTGAAGGTTTTGAGCATCCTAGTATCCTGGTTTTGTCTGTAAGTTAGAAAAAGCCTTGTATGGTCTTAAACAAGCACTAGGGCTGGTTTGACAAGTTAAAGGAAGCTTTATGAGTAAAGGTTTTCAAAATTCAGTGGCAGATTCAGTTGTTTATTTTTCAAAAAGGTGATCAAAGCTATCTCTTTTATATGTTGATGATATCTTGATAACTGGAGGGAACACAACTTTTATCCACACTTTGATCAAAGATCTTAATGCTCAATTCTCACTAAAACACTTGGATCAGTTCACTACTTTCTTGGTATAGAGGCTGTTAAAACTGATCAGGGTATGCATCTTAAACAAACTAAATATATTCTTGACTTGCTGGTGAAAACGAATGGCAGATGCACACCCTGTTCTATACCATTAGCAGTAGGTACCAGCTGTTTGCAGGTGATAGTGAATGCTTTAAGGATCCAACTTTGTATAGAAGTACAGTGGGAGCATTGCAATATCTCACATCACCAGACCTGATATCAGCTTCATAGTTAAAATTAAGTCAATACTTGCAAGCTCTTACAGAAATACAATGGCAAGCATGCAAAAGGGTCCATCGAATCTCAAAGGAAACTAGAATCATGGCCTTCAGTTTAGACCAGCAGCTTCTCTAAACGTTGAGTGTTATGCTGATGCGGATTGGGCAGCATCTTGATGATAGAAGGTCTACTAGTGGATATTGTACTTCTTAGGTCCCAATCTGATTCAATGGAGCTTAGGAAACAAAAGGTAGTTGCTTTGTCCTCTACGAAGCTGAATATAGGGCACTAGCTCACACAGCAACTGAAGTTGCATGGTTGAAGAATATTTTTTCAGAATTAGCCTAATTTTCCTCAAGCACCTATCATATGGTGTGACAATCTTAGTGCAGGGGCCTTGGCTGCCAATCCTGTATTTCATGCTAGAACTAAGCATATTGAGATTGATGCGCACTTATAAGAGATAAGTCTGGTCAAGAATTTGTTGGTTCAATACGTTCCTCAAAGTTACAAATTGCTGATATATTAACAAAGGCACTCTCTATAGTTCAGTTTCAAGAATTGAAGGAAAAACTTACTGTGATTCAGTTACCCTGTTCTAGCTAAATGCCCTATTGTATTATCTTCTGCTGAAATGTTTGATTGAAATCAGTGGTCTGTTGGAATGTTTCTAAATGCAATCTGGAATTTCTAGATTTTCTAAATGTCTGATTGAAGAAATCTGATTTGCTGCTATTTCTAAATGCAATCTGGAATTTCTAGTTTTTCTAAATGTCTGATTGAAGAAATCTGATCTACTGCAATGATTCCCGCAGATTGTGTGTTTTTGTTTGTAAAATCTGCAGATGTGCTTCAATGGATGATGAAGTTTGAAGTTTGCAGATTGTATGGATGGTTTTATGGAATCTGATCTGCTGCAATGATTCTTGTAGTTTGTGTGAATTTTGAGAAGTTGATGATTCTGAAGTTTGTGTGTGTTGTTCTGTTGCTTGCTGAAGATTGTTGTTTACTGGTATTCTTCAGTTGTAGTGACCGTTGCTGTTAATTATGGTGCAGCGACTGCTGGATGATGAATCTAGTGTAGTGATGCTGATTGGATGATGGTTCTGGTGCAATTGTTCTTGTGACTTTCACTGGTGTTCAGTTGCTGAAATGTTCTGATGCAGTTCTGATGCAGCTTGTTGGTTCAGTTGCACTGGACATTGGATGTTGATCTTCATTGATTACTGCTGAATGTGGTTTAGTGAAGAACTTGCTAAAAATTATGGTGCAGTGACTGCTGGATGATGAATTCTAGTGTAGTGACTGCTGGATGATGGATTCTGGTGCAATTGTTCTTGTGACTTTCACTGGTGTTCAGTTGCGAAATGTTCTGATGCAGTTTGTGGTTTAGTTGATGGACATTGGATGTTGATCTTCATTGATTACTGTGAATGTGGTTTAGTGAAGAACTGCTAAAAATTTGCGTTGAATGTAGTTTGGTGAAGACTGAAGCACTGGACATTGAATGTTGGTCTCCTGGTTACTGCTGAATGTAGTTTAGTAAAGGATGTTGGTCTCACTGATTACTGCTGAATGTGGTTTAGTTAAGAACTTGCTAAAAAAAATTTGTTTTGGAGGCAATTTGTTTTGAGTGGGCATGTGGATTAAAATGCTAGGTTATGGAAACTTGGACCAGGGAGTTTGATTTGAGGGGGCATGTGGATTAAAGTGTCAGAATTCAGAAGTTAAGGGCTAGCAAATATTAACTAAGCAAACACAAAAACCTGCCGTTTTGTGTTTCTCTCTTAAAGAGAACGAATATCTGTATTTCTTTAATATCTGTATTTCACTTTCCCTTTTCTCTTCACACTCTCTGAGCTACGATTCACTTAAGTAGCAAATCCTAACTGTATTATTCATTCAATCAAATACTCAAATTGAAGCTTTGTTTTTCTTTAATTTTTCTCTCAATTTACGAATTTCACTAAGTATTATAAGGAAGAAAGAGAGCATGAATGCAGCCACAAAGCAGTCACGCTAATTTCAGCTTTTGAAAAAATGAAGAAGAAGAATAACTTTACCTCCCAATGTGGATTTGTTTGACAGGGATGATTCAGTGAAAGAAATTTTCACCGGTGAATGTGATGGTGGGTATGAGAATACTACAAACCAGTCACACACTGCAAAAACACATAATTGCTAGAGCATTATATGGGGAGAAGCAATAAAGATAAAGCTAAAGTTAGAATAAGATCACTATCATTCATCATGCATCACCCACAAACATACCAACCTTTTCGTTTTTTCTTTTCAATTCTTTTTATTTAATTTCACCTCTTTAATTGTGCGGTGTAGATGGCCGTACTGGTTGTATGGACATTGACAAACTCCAGACTCAAGCTATACCATCTGATTAATTTAAATTATTTAAGTGCTTTATCTAATAAATTTCTTCTACAACTTAATCATCTATCAAACCATTCGTTACCATACAGAGAAGTTGAGATTTTGGATTTGCAAACCTGTTAGCAAGTACTTCATTAGTCACAGCAAAGACCTCAATAAATAAATTTGTGTTTACCATTGTAAAATTGAGAAATAAAGAGAAATAAAATAAGTTTTAACATGTTGTAAGAAAACGAGAAGAATAATATATAACTAACCACCATTAGGTGGCATGATGGTAAAAGAGTAAGAGAAAGTTTCATGAGCTCCTGAGTTCTCGAGTCTCCCCAGACACTAATAAGAATGGCGAATAAAGCTTTTACCTAGTCGACAGTTCCAAGGCCTCGGAGGATTAGTTGAAATACACGTAAGTTGATCCAAACACATCCGATGATAATAATAATAATAATAATAATAATATATGACACACTTTCTTTTGGGTGGCGAATATTGACTTATTCTCTTACTCTTAGTCGTTGGAATTGGTTTGAAATTCATGGTGTGCAGTGACTAGTGATATGATGATAAAAGCTAAAGAATGGTAGTATTAGAGTTTTAATTGAGTTTAACCATAACTGGCTTTGTACTACTTGAGAGTCGTCAATTGAGTTGGATGAAATTGTTTACGGGGCTAAATAAAAGGTTGGTTACAATGCCAACCCCAAGGGATTGGCCCGATGGTCAAAGAAGTTTATTCCATTCCTTGAGTTCTTGGGTTTAAACCTTAAGATTATCTACCATAATAATATTGTGATTTACTTGGTATTTTAGATTTGCATAGTGTTCAATAGACTTTAATAATTAGTTGAGGTATGCACAAACTGACCTAAACACTCCATTTATAAAAAAAAAATATATAATTTGATGAAATTGAAGGTGAGTGGGTGGATTCCAGTAAATTAATTGGTAGACCCAGATGATAAAATTCATTTACATTGTTGACACGTGTCCAGATATATTGGTGTATAAATGAGAAAATGTAGAGAAAGAAGATAGAATTTGAGGTGGGCCTGACTCCTCACCCAATAAGGCCTTATTGAATGGAAGGATTACCCTTTCTTATAATCCAATAGGCTTAAGCGTGCCTAGTCGATGTGGGACTCCAACACTCTCCCTCACGGTCAAGCCCATATATTGGGTCATGCCTGTTACTGGAGATAGTTGTTGGCTCTAACTCCTCACTCGCTGGTCAAGCGCTCAACTCAACTGAACCTGGGCTCTGATACCATGATAGAATTTGAGATGGGCCTGACTCCTCACCCAATAAGGCCTTATTGAATGGAAGGATTACCCTTTCTTATAACCCAATAGGCTTGAGCGTGCCTAGTCGATATGGGACTCCAACAAGAAAGACTATGGAGAATCCAACTAAAGTAAACATTGATTTGATAAACTGAAAGATATGTATCCCCAGCAAGTGGAACTGGAAAAAGTAGGAGACCAAAATGAAATGCAGTGGTACACGCCACTCACAAACTTTGAATCTTATATTCATCAATATCAAACACTCCTGTTCTCGTTTCCATCATTCACTTAATTTACTAAATGGCCAACAAAAACCTTCACTCGCGGAACTTAAATAATCAACTTTACTATGCATATATTTTATATTTCAAGTTTTCAAGTTCAATTTATTATCCATATCTATCATATAAACACTGTTTGTTCTTATAGTGTGTATAGCGTTTGGTTTATTGTAAATGGAATCCAACACAGCACTGAATGGTTTTTCTTTCCTTTTTTGAAAGGTTCGGCGGGGTCGGGGTCCGGGTATTCATGCATGTTGAGAGAAGGAGGAGCCATAAAAGCAAACAACCTACTCAAGCCAAGAGAAGCGTTACTAAAGTCTAACGATTATGTTTTTCTTTTTTTGCCAACTACAACTGTATACTCATCATGCCACATAAAAGCAAATGTAACTTGAACTACCATGATAAATAATATATTAAGATAACACAAACAAGTATGCCATTCCATCATTGAATTTTCCCTTTAAAAGGAGACTAAAGCACAACAATAACTGAGCCAAAGAAAGCTTCAAAACTAATCAACATGGATGTGGAGAAACTCTTTCATATGACAGGAGGGGCTGGCCCATCTAGCTATGCTAAAAATTCCTCCTTGCAGGTTTCATCATCCTCTCCCTCTCTATTTTTCACTTCTTTGATACATATATTATTTCTTATTTTGGTGATTGCATGACTGTTCCAGTTCTATCAAGAGTACGTACCTGCTCTTTTGTTCTTCTGTAACTGTTTCTTATTTTCTTCCAACAGAAGAAGGCATCGGATATAGTGAAGAACATAACCATAGAAACATTACAACAACTTTATCTTGAAATAACTACAAAGACGTTATGCATAGCTGATTTGGGTTGTTCTTCTGGATCCAATACACTAGCAATGATTAAAGATGTTGTTGAAACCGTTGAAGGAACTTGTCGTAAATTCATGCTTTCAGACCCAGAGTTTCACGTTTATCTTAATGATCTTTCAACAAATGACTTCAACTCGATCTTTAAGGCCTTGCCAGATTTTGTTAGAGAGCTTAGGGAAGAAAGAAGTGGTGGATCTCCCCACATATATATTGGAGGTTATCCAGGATCTTTTTATGGAAGACTCTTTCCCAACAACTCCTTGCATCTTATCTATTCATCTTACAGTGTTCACTGGCTATCAAAGGTCAGATTCTTCTCTTTTGATTTTATCACTGTAAGCATGCATGCACTTAAGTTCTGAATATATATCATAATTTTGGAATCCCTATTTGGTTAAATGAAACAAAACCACTCTCTTAATTTTCATATACTTGTTATTCAATTTAAGCCAGGGTCAAGCACCATGCAAATTAGATCACGCGTGTATCAAGTATCACTATGTTATGCAGGTTCCTCCAGCCCTTTACAACGACCATGGCGATTCAATAAATAAAGGCAACATTTATATCTCTGAATCCAGCCCTCCTCGAGTGTTACATGCATATTTTAATCAATTTCAAGAAGATTTCTCCACGTTCCTTAGATCAAGGTCCGAAGAATTAGTCGTTGGAGGTCGAATGGTGCTTATCTTATTAGGAAGAGCAGGTCCTGATCATGTTGACAGGGGCAACTCATTCTTCTGGGAACTTCTCTCACGATCCCTAGCCATCTTGGCTTCTCAGGTGCCCATAAATTCTAAATACGTCTCAAACTAGGAATATATTTTGGAGTGTTGATGTTTAAGCGCGTTATCATTGTGCAATTTTTGTTTTATGTAGGGAGAAATAGACAAAGAAAAGCTTGAGTCTTACGATGTGAACTTTTATGCACCATCAAAAGATGAAATAGAAGAGGAAGTGAGGAGAGAAGGATCGTTCAAACTAGACCAGCTTCAGATGTTTCACATAAAGAGAGAAGATTATGGTGACAGACATGGCTATGCGGTTGCAGCGACAGTTAGGGCTATTCAAGAATCAATGATCCGTCACCATTTTGGAGTAGGAGAAGGAAGCTTAGACTCTTTGTTTGAGATTTACGGCAGAATGGTTGATGAAGAAATGGGTAAAGAAGAAATTAAGCCCTGGACTATTGTCCTAGTTCTTAGAAAATTATAGGGTTATTTAAAATGTGATGAATTATATGAACCGTTGATCAAGTAGTCAGCGGTTCATATATATCGAGTTAAAATACCGCCTTGTGACTTCACTTTCTAATGTAAAAACAAGCTGGTTGCGTTTGGTCGAAGATTATACGAGATTACTAAGATAATATAATCTTATATTATTTAAATATCTTATTTGATTGTCAAATAATATAAAATTCTAGTAATCTTTCAATACTAATAGTAGTTACTGTTGGTAATATTGGAAGTAATCTGATAACCTCTATTTTCTCAGGTATTTTAATATTATTTAGTTATCTTATTTTTGTTATAATTTTACCTCTTATTAATAAAATTTTAAGACAATAATGCCCTTGTTTTAAAAACAATTTACAAAAATACTAATTGACTATTTTATCCTTATATACAAAGTTTTTAGGACATAAATACCCCTGAAATTGTACAAAATTATCCAAGGGTGGTGGCTGGATCTGGCCACCACCGCCAGTCACCGGAAATAGCCATCAACGATTGAATGGCACACGATCGGCCATATTAGGCCGGCTATGCACTGATAAGGTTGTTTTCGGCCATGGATCTGTGATCCATGGCTGGAAACAGCTAGATCTGGTCTTTCACAATTAGATCTGTAGCTGTTTCATGGCCAAATATGTGGCGATCTGGCCGTGAAAGGCCAGATATTTGGCCGTGAAATGGTTGCCATTTCACGGCCAAATATCTGGCCTTTCACACACAAATCGCTACTTTCGCCACCATCAGCGGTGGTGACAGGCCACCAGTAGTGGTTTGGGGTGAGTTGGGTGGTTTTATTAAATTTCAAACTTTTTTTGTTGCTAGGGTGTGTAACATTGGATAGATTCATTGTGACCACAATAAACTTGTCATGTATTTTTGTGCCCATTGGACACATATTAAACATACATGTTTTGGTGACTCAATGTCAAATCATTAATTTATGTCACATAAATAATTATTTTAAAATCCACCATTATATTTGTGACTAGAATTGAGAAAAGATAATGACCCGGGCTGCACATATATATAAAAGATTTTTCCGTAAGAAGATTTGTTCCAATGGAAGAAAAATGTAATCCACTAAATAAAATATTAATTGGAAGTGCATGCATATGTACGCAGATATGTACTTACCCTTACACTGACATGTCAAACATGATTTGAGGAAATTAAAATGTAATGTAACTCCCGAATATCTTATGTACGCTTTGGTGCATGAGAAGAGCAAGAATAGGGATGGTGAAGGAATGAGAAATTTTTATTTGAGGGAGTAATTACTATTGACGAAAGGAACTTTCATATTAGGAGTTAATGTATAAAATCACAATATACTATTAAAATGTTTCGATTTTCTCTTAATGTACCATGTCATGAAATCATGATATTCGAGTGTTGTGTGTTGGAGTTAGCGACCACTTCAACAATAAAGGTCGTAGCTGGGCAGCTCTGAGTCATAGCTAGTCTGTATAACGTACATGGGGTCCCCCTAGTGCCCCAAAGAGTGAGTAGGGGTCTCAAAGAGAAGCGCTCCTGGGTCCGTAAGCAATTTGGGTTTATACCATGTATAGCCACTATAGGATTCCTTAAAGATTAGAACTCCTAACAGGATTGAGTTTAGGAATAAAGATCATAGTTGTATTATACTCTTCATAACCTAGTATATAAAAACATTATTCTCTTATATGAGTGATAGAATAAACAATAATAAATACATTCATTGTAACAAGAGATGTGAGAAAATATTTCAACAATATTTGTGTGTGATTATTTGTTTCTTTGATTCCAATCACTCTTTAGTTCTTTTAGTGTGTTCACTGCATATATTTAAACAATGAATCATATATTGTCTATGTTGTAAATTCTCTTGAACAAATCAAGCAAACATCAACCAACAAACACACAATCAACGCAAACCAAACAGATTCAACACACAGTATTTACCGTGGTTCACTTGTTCAATATTGAACAAGCTATGTCCACGTTGAGCTCTAGAATATGAATGCTCTCTACACTTACTATTACGATCAAGAATGGTTACAACCCTCAAACTCTCTCTCTTACAAGATTTCAACCAAGATCAACCAGGATTTAGAATAACAACAGTAAACCTACAATCTGAAATAAGAACACTACACCAGGTTCCCACCCCACTAAGAAACACAACTTAATGGACAGATTACCTGCAGATTTACACCCACATAGCAAACCCTAATCTTGAACCCTAATTTGTAACTCAGAGAGATATCAAACAGAGAGGAAAAACGCGTTACTTCGAAACTGAAGAGTTATCAGCTTTTATAGGTTTGACTCAACTTAAGTCTTCAGCCGTCAAATCTGTTCTCAAACCAACGATCAGGATGAAGTGTCGATTTAAGTCACAACGGTGTCATATTGAGCTTTCTCGACTTAAGTTAAACGGTGTCGCTTAAGGCTTCACATTTAACAATCTCCACCTTGAAGCCTTATTCTTTCCTTTGTCAGTAACCAGCAGGTGCAACAAGCAGTTCTCATACTCCTTCTTTGCTCTATTGAATTCAGTTGATGTGAAGAATGTTCAAGCAGTGCTTGAACTTTATAGCAGTTACAACTTTGGTTCCCATATCAGATGGATTTTCTTCAGTTGGAATTTTTAGCAGGCTAACTGTTCCCTTTGAAATCTGATCTCGGACAAAATGATACTTTACATTCACGTGCTTCGTCCTCTCATGGTATACTGGGTTTTTACTTAGATGAATGGCACTTTGACTGTCAGAATATACAGTCACAGGGCCATTCATCAAGTTTATCTCTTTCACAATCCCTTGTAGCCAGATTGCCTCTTTGAAAGCATCAGTTACTGCCACATACTCAGCTTCTGTTGTGGACAGTGCCACTAATGGTTGAAGCTGGGATTTCTAGCTAATGCAGTTTCCACCTAAAGTGAAATAATAAGCTGTGGTGGACTTCCTTGAATCACGATCTCCTGCAAAGTCAGAGTCCAAATACCGAACAAGATCAAGTGCAGGAGTTCTTTTGCAATATTCTAATCCAACATGCATAGTAGTGTTAATGTATCTAAGTGTCCATTTTAAGGCAACCCAATGCTCTGTTCCTGGATTTGACATAAACCTACTTAATAGAGATATTGCAAATGAAAGATCAGGCCTAGTGCTTATCATTGAATATATCACTGATCCTATGGCACTAGAGTAGGGGATGTTTTCCATTTTAATGCTATCTACATCAGTTTTGGGGGATTGAACTTTGCTTAAGGTGAAATGACCTGCTAAGGGTACATTTACAGTTTTAGCATCAGTCAAAACAAACCTAGATATTAGTTTCTGCATATATGGGAATTGATGGAGTTTCAGTCTATTTTCTTTTCTATTCCTATCAATCATCATCCCTAATATCCTTTTTACAGATCCTGGGTCTGTCATCTCAAATTCAGCATTTAATTTTGCTTTTAATTCATCTATTTGAGGTTTGGACTTACTGATTATCAACATGTCATCTACGCATAGCAGTAAGTACATGGGTATGTTATTAAAGCAAGCATAATACAAATAGTTATCATAAGCACTCCTAATGAACCCAATTCCTACTATAAAGGAGTCAAATCTTTTGTACCATTGCCTAGGGGATTGTTTGAGTCCATACAAGGACTTGTGCAACAGGCAGGCATGTTCATGCAGGTTTCTATTTCTAAACCCCAATGGCTGACTCATATAAATTTTCTCTTCTAATTCACCATGTAAAAAAGCTGTTTTAACGTCTAACTGTTCCAGTTCTAGATCATATTGAGTTACTGCAGCTAGCATAAGTCTAATTGTTTTAAACTTAACCACAGGAGAGAAAACTTCTGTAAAGTCTATACATGCCCTTTGTGTGTAGCCCTTTGCCACTAGTCTTGCTTTGTATCTTGGATGGTCTGATCTTGTTAGACCTTCCTTCCGTTTATAAAGCCACTTGCAGTCAATCAGCTTCTGGTCAGTAGGTTTTGGGACCAGAGTCCAAGTACTGTTCTGTCTTAAGGATTTCATCTCCTCCTTCATTGCTTCCATCCACTTTTTACTGTCTTTTGAACTCACAGCTTCCTAATATGTCTCTGGTTCAGATCTTAGTGTTTCTACCCCAGCCACAAGGGTTGTGTAGATCAAATCTGCATAACTGTATCTGTTTGGGGGCCTTATTTCCCTTTTGACCTTGTCTTTGGCTAGTTGGTAATCTACTAGGTTCTCATCCTGTTCTTCTTTATTGTTCTCAGGCTACACAGTTTCTTCGTATTGGTCCCCAATGTTCTGCAGTGTGGTATTTTCTGGTTCTGTTTGTTCAGGTTGTTCTAAGTGCTCTGGCAAGTTTTGTGGCTCCACCTCAAATTGTGATCTCTCTATTTGATCAAGCAGTTTAGGATCTGTTCTTGAGTTACCTGCATTGTCAATAGACACTTTGCAAGGGAAGGTTAGCTCATTAAAGACTACATCTCGGCTTATTATGATCCTAACTCTTAGTGCATTTTTCTCCCACAACCTATAACCTTTTGTACCATCCTGGTACCCTAGGAAGGCACATTTTAGAGACCGGGGTTCAAGCTTACCCTCTCTTGTATGTGCATATGCTGCACACCCAAAAACCCTTAGGTGGTTTAGGTTAGGTTTCCTTCCAGACCATCTCTCTTCAGGGCATTTAAAACCTATTGAGCTGGATGGACTTCTATTGATCAAATAAGCAGCTGTAGTTGGGGCTTCTCCCCAAAAAGTCTTGGGTAGCCTAGCAGTGAACAGAAGACACCTGACCCTTTCTAGGAAAGTCCTATTCATTCTCTCTGCAACCCCATTCTGTTGTGGGGTTGCCTTGACAGTTCTATGCCTTTGTAACCCCTGATTTTGATAGTAGGCGTCAAACTCTAGGTTACAGAACTCCAGACCATTATCAGTTCTAAGGGTTTTGACCTTTCTATCCAATTGTGTTTCTACAAGTGTTTTCCAACCTTTGAATTTGGTTAGGGCTTTGTCCTTAGTCCTTAGTCCTAAAGAGGTATACCCATACCTTTCTACTGTAATCATCCATTATGGAGAGAAAGTATGTGTTCCCTCCATGTGATTTCACCTTTTCTGGACCCCAAAGGTCAGCATGGACATAGTCTAGACAGTTTGCAGCAAGATGAGTTCCT